ATATATATATATATATAACTTACTTTCGTTTTCTTTTTGTTTCCGTTTTTAGTTCGGTTTTTTTTTATTGTGTTTTTTTTATACATATATATAGCCATGATATAAATTTTTCTGCTGAATTGATACTTAATTCATAGATTTTTTATTATTTTTATTTCACAATACTGACTCGTGATAGTCATAAACTAACACAATAATAGTTCTATTTCCCAAAAATAAATAATGGAACTAATGCTCTAATTATTAATTTCGGACACCCGTTATTAAGGTAGGACAAATTCCTTTTTTTAGGGAGGGGGGAGGTGCTGATGCAAATTATCTTGCTGCTTTGTTGCTTAGTACGCAACTTATTATTTATTATTGTTTTGTACCTTCCCGTGTCTTTTAAATATTAGATTTATTATTAAGTTATTTCTTAGTTTACCTAACTAATAGAAAGATCAACTAACTATAACATATACGTAACATTATTTCAACCGTGATAGGACAATTTTTTACTCAATCCCAATTTACCAGATAAATTTGACACATAGCTTCAATTTTATTTATTAATTTTTGTTGACTTAACACTATTTGCAATTTTAGAAACACATCTTTAAAGCGTAAGTATAAAGAAGGGGGGGGGGGACGCGTTGTGCCTTTTAGAAAACTGATTCTGTAACATTGGAAATCAAGTATAAACATTTAATAAAAATGTGACTCTCAATGTGACTAAAAATGTGACTCTCTATAAACTCTCAATGAAATTCATTATTGCTTCTAGCTAATAAATGTTGTTATAAAATATTTTAATCCATTTGAAAATTATTTCCTGAATTAGAGTTACAACGCATGAATTAATGGTCTGGGAGAATTTAAAATATTAAGCAACAGCATGTAATTTTTCCTCCTCATTTTATAATGACATCAATCATACGAGTAAACTCCTAAAAAAACTCACTCAACCATTATATTCTATTTCTATTTTAAACTAAAACTTTCCCCTTCAAAATAATTATTTTCTTTCAATTTCAGACATCTCAAACGAAGCGTCTTGGAAGTAGCATGACCGAGTTTTCGGAGGTAAGCAATTTTTTTTAATAAATTTAAATTGTTGAATATACAATTTCAAGTAATAATTTAATTCAAAGGCTAATTAAATTCAAACGATAATTTAATGCAAACGATAATTAAATTCAAACGATAATTTAATTCAAATGATAATTTATTTCGAATGATAATTTTATTTCAGACGATCGTTGGGTTCTAAGTCATTTTGTTCAAAACTTAAAACGCATTCCAGCTCATTGTATTTAGCTCATGAACTTAGCACCTGCTTAATTTAGAACAATTTAGTTTATTTAATTTCTTTTTCTTTTGCTGCTCATTCGGTAAAAGTTTATTTTCTATGATTTAAATGTAGTATTTTTCAATTTCAGGTCGTTAAAACTGCTAGAAGAGCTTTTAACAGTGAAATAACGAAATCTCTGGATTTTCGAATCTCACAGCTAAAAGCATTGTACAGGCTTTTAGAGGAACATGGTGATGAACTGGTTGAAGCCATTAGAAAAGATTTAAAAAAGGTGAGTATTGATGTAAGATATTGCGTTTTTAAACCCCCCCCCCCTTCTCGTTTTAATATCGTAACAAAGCATAAAGTTTGTAACATATATTATAAGAAATTTATTAAATGCTATTTCCCTTAACTATCTCTTATTAATAATAAAATATGATAATGTCTTAGAACTACCCTAAAAATATATGGAAGCAAAAAATGATAGAAAAATTTTGAAGCATTAAGCATTTTTAAAATAATTTTCTTATTGATAGCAATACTCAAGTTTTCACACTTAATAAAAACTACTTTTTTTTGGAATGATAAGAAAATAACAGCAAAAATCACAAATACAGTGCAAACTAATTGAGGTAAGTTAGTTTAATTTTTCTTAAATCTTTTAGATCTGGCCACGTTGAAAAAACTGTGAAACACACCTTCAGAAACAAATGTATCAATTTTTTTTCTTCGGAAAATGGCACCGTAAACTTAGTTTCGGTTGTGAGGCATGATCAAATATGTATGAATAATTCTGTGAGGGATTATTCCATGCATGCAAGTATTTGATCGGACATTTCAACGAAACTTGACCCTTTGTATTAATCGAAAAATGATCAAAACGGAATACTGAAAAATTCAAATAATGCTGCTTGATTTTCATGAAAATTCACCAAAATTAAATCCAAAGCCAAATCCGATTAAATTTAGCAACTGCAATATTTTGAAAAGTAGTTTAAGTAAGATGGACTACACGAATAAAAACGCATGTTAAATATTGCTTTAAAAGTCTGGCTCCACGCTGATTTAAACCAAGAATGTGTACACTATTCTATGGAGTCAACGCAAAGTTTTTCACTTTATCCCAATTAATTTGCACTGTATAGTACCATAAGTGCAACAAAAAAAAACTGAAGAAAATATTAAAAAAAAACAATTGAATATTACAACAATTATTGTGAAAATATATTTCTTGTTGCTTGATTATACTTCGTGTTGCTCTGTAATCTTGCATTTCTGTAAGGTAGAAATCAGTTTCTCGAGGATATATAGATAGAGAGGAGAAAAAAAACCTTTTATTAGTACTAAAAATTGTTATATAAACTTGAAACATTAATGTTCTTTGATAAAATAACTTCAAATTGCGAATATACTTTGGGAATTTATTAAACAAAAAGAACTATGATTACAGTTTACTGTTTTGTAACGTTGTTTTTGTTTTATTTTTCTTTAAACACTTACAGCCTTTCATAGAAGCCTCGCTTGCTGAAGTAGAAACAACAAAAAATCAAATTAAAGGAGCTTTGTATGAAATACACAAATGGGTGAAGCCGGAACCGGTGAGTATAACTATATTACAAGCCAATTCCTGTACAATATACTACGGTATTTATGCTTTGTCTTTTGATTAAAAAAAAATTCTGAGAAAGTAAAATATTTTTGTGATGTCCAATACTGTGACATTTTTTATGGATATTTCTATAAATATCTAATTCATGATTAGGTAACTCATTTTAAAGTGCCCAAAAAATGTAATCTGATATACAACTGGATCCAAATAAATTCCAACGTTTTTAAATTGTCCGGTTTTATAATAAGATCATCAAATATAAAAGGACATGTTAAATTGCTTTTTTACAATTTTTTAAGTAAAAAGCATAATTTCAACGTTATTTCTTGTATAAGATAGCGTTCGAAACATTATATTGACAATATCTCGCTAATTTCTCTATTTCACGCATTTTTTGTAGAAAATTTTCAATTGCGTCATAGGCAAATTATTGAAGAATCGGTGGACATTCTTTTAATTCTTCAGAGCTGTAGAAACCAGTCTTCAATTTATTTTATATCCTACGTTTATAAAGAAAACTAATGTTTTTCCACTTACATTTAAAATTATATTATAATATTATGCAATTTCAAATATAAATTTTCCATCAGTTAAGATTTCAGAAACTAGTACCCAAAAATAACTCACACTGATCTTTATTTTTGCAGACACTACTTTAGATTATTTGGATTTCTGATGAAAAAAAAAATGAGGAGCAAAATCTGTGAGATATTGTTTCAGACGGTCAAATAATTGGTCCACTTATACTATTTTTACTTTTTGCGCTATTAATAACAACCGTTATATATCCCTGCAATATAATCTTGGATGAATAAAAATATCATAATACCCGATTTCTAGACTCGTTTACTCAAACATCAATTTTCATTTAGTTGTCTGTTATTGTTTTTATAAATTAAGTCTATGAATTGTAGAGAAATTAAATTTTTCGCTATCTTAAAGATTGGACTTATTTATAAATGACAATAATCATGATAGCAATAATAATAATGACCTTATTAATAAAACCCTTAATTCTTCGGTTTAATAGTCACTGAGAAATACATTTTCAATAAAGTTATAATTTCGAAATTTTATTCTTTAAGGATCTTTTTTTCTAGACTGGCACTTTTATGCCTCAAAATTCGAAGAATTTTACTACTTTTAATTAATAAAAAAGTATTAAGGAGTCAAAATAATTTTTGATTCTAAAGACAAATGAATTAAACATTTGAGTAAACAAATTTTTTCACGTCATTTTCACGTTCAGCACGTCATATTTTAACTCTTTAGTTGCATTTGATTATGCAATAGATAAGCCAACATGGTTTCGTTCATTACAAGTATAACGCTTAGTAATTCTCCAATTAGTTGTAGAATCTTAATTTTTTTTTGTTCCATATATATATATTTCAAACAATATATATTATTTTGCTACACGCCGGTAAGTTTGGTTTCTGGTTTCTTTTATTTCATACTCTTTCTCAACTGAATTTTTTTGCGATATCGACACATTATAAGGAATAATTTTTATCTTAAGTTAATTAGTCTTTATTCAGAAATATCGCATTGAGTTATAGCGAAAGATGTGTCCTGAGGAAGACTTTTGCTTTTTTCATTAATAGTTTTCTATTTTATATTATTCTATTATTATTATTATTTGTGTTTATATATATCANGAGAGAGAGAGAGAGAGAGAGAGAGATAGAGAGAGAGAGAGAGAGAGAGAGAGAGAGAGAGAGAGAAACATTCCCATTAAACAATCAGCTAATCAGCTTTTATTTTTTTTATTTATTTCGAACTAGAATTTCTTTGATATGTTCAGTTAAAATTTAAAAAGTTTTTATGCAACCAGTTTATAAAACCCATAATTAACCCATAATCATATATAAAACCCATAATCATATATTTAAACATTATTTGATTTTTGTTTAGGCAGAAACCAACATAATACTCATTTTGGATAAAACATACATATTGCCTCAACCCTATGGAGTTGTACTTGTGATTGGGGCTTGGAATTACCCCTTTTTATTAATATCCTCTCCTTTACTTGGAGCCATAGCTGCGGGTAACTGCGTTATCATCAAGCCATCTGAAAAAGCACCCGCAACCTGCAAAATATTATCCGACCTCATACCTCAATACCTACACAAAGTAAGTTTCTTTTTTTCCTCAGTAAGATCAATACAATTGATAGGTGTTTTGAATCAGGTGTCAAAAAATGAATAAATAAACAAATGATGTTTTGAAAATATATTTTTAAAAAACAGTGATAAATGTGCAATTTTTGTTTGCTGTGTTTTGAATCGAAAAGAATATTGTACTAACACCCATTTTCAATATTAGTTACCAAATTTCTCAACAGATGGCTGCTGTATTAACTGGAATACATTAACTAATTTTCCTGCTGCATGTTAGACAATTCCAATTGAAATATTTTTCCGGGGGTCGGTTAATTTTGTATTCAGTCTGCACCACGCAAATAATCACTGTTTGAACATAATTAAATTTTTCTAAAAATGCAACGCCATTTATTGATGAGCTTTGAAAATTGGCAAGCAATAAAACTTAGTTTCCTAAACAGAAGGCAGCAAACCGTACATTTCTAACTGAGTTCTTATACAATCGGTTTTTAGGGAACATCTGGTAAGAGGATATAACAAATAAAATAAAATCAGTCTGCAGATTTTATTTGAAAAAAAATATTTTGTAAATTGAAATGTGTTTTTTTAAAGGTCTTTTGTGAATTTTCGGAAAGTCTAATTGGGAGATGTCTCAATATTATTATTTTTTTAATAGGATTGTTACCATGTTGTATGTGGTGGAGTACCTGAAACTACAAGTCTCCTCAACGAACGGTTTGACTACATATTTTACACCGGTTCACCTATGGTTGGACAAAAAATAAGAGAGGCGTCAAACAAATACCTGACGCCAGTTACTCTAGAACTTGGAGGTAAATGGTAAGAACGTGTGTTTTAAGTTAATAACTTGAAATCAAAAGAAAAATAAATTATAAAAAAATACAGACTGTTTAAAATATTTAAGAAAACTTTTATTATTTAGAGAATTTTTATTTTATTCGTTAGGGTTAAGCACTAAGCCTAGATTAATCCTTTGACGCTGAATTTTTATTAAACATATTCTTCATACTTTTTACATTATTTTGCATTAATTTGAATGAAAATAAATAAAAAATATTATATTTAGCGTTTTAAAGATTTATGGTTATGAAATACAGAATGAAAAACCTGCGTTTTTTGCGTTAATGGTAAAATCTTTCAAACTTTAATTTTAAACATTTGTACTTATTTGCAGTTATTTAAGAGAAAACGCTAGTCCTCCTTGAAATTTCTTTAATTTACAAAATCCTTTAATGATAATTTTTTGAATTGAACTACGTTTCTCCTGCTGATTTATTTATTTATTTTCATTAAGATTCCTTTTTTCATGGACATACTTTAAAAATATGTAAAAAGAAACATCATGTACTATTTTTTAAAAATATTATTTTATGTTTTATAATAAAAGCATAAGCTTTAGTTGATTAAAAGATAAAAGCTAAAAAGAAATGCATAATTCTTTTATTTGAAACCGTGCAAGAAATTTAAAGACTAAATTTGGGAATATCTGAAAATAGATAGTTTTTAGTGTGAAATTATTTTAAAGATATAAGAAAAATAAATATTGTGAGCTACTTTTTAAAAGCATTATTTTGTTAATGTTTTTAGTGAAAGTAAAAGCTTTATTTGGTAAAAGAAGAAAAAAAAGTGCGGAGCTGTTTTATTCGAAATCGTGCAAGAAATTTAAACAATGCTGAACACAAGATTTCAAAATTTAAAAAAGTTAGTTCTTAAAGGGAAATTTTATTCAGCGACTGAATTAAATTTAAATTTTATTTTTTATAATGCTTAAAACGTAATTTTGTTAAATTATGCATTTTACAATTCTATTTTTTGTCAGAACAAAAAATTATTTACTGATTTAACTATTGCAAATATTTTTATAAATATTTTTATCATGCACTTTTCATTTCAAACATTTAGTACGAAATATATTTAGTGACAAAGCAAATAAAATGTGAGTTTTATCAGAAGCATATTATGAATTTAAAAAGTAAAGGAAAATAAAAGAATCTTTGAAATTATTCATACCAAGTGTCTCAAAAATGACCAACCATTTAAGGAATCAAATAAAATAAAAACGGTGGAAGGTGTATTTTGCTTAAAAACCAGATTACTTATTCTCAACAAACTCCGATTTTGTAAAAAATGTTACTCAGATCGGGTTGTATGCTGAGATAAACTCTAAACTCATTTTCAAAACAGCTTCAGTTGACATAGAGTAAAAAACATAGTTTTTTTCAGTTAACAGCTCCATCTGTTGATGAGTTTTGAATCTAAGTTTGAAAGTTTGTGAAAATCAATAATCTGCTTTCCTAGGCAGAATGTAGCGAACAGTAAATTTATATCCCCTATATTTCTTTCTTTCATTGAATTTTTAAATGGTCGTTCAATTTCAGAAAATCCTGTATCTAACTAATGTAGTTTCTCATGTTTTCAGTCCTGTGTATATAGATGATGAAGCCGATATGGAGCTAACTGTGAAGAGAATCATTTGGGGAAAGATGCTTAATTTAGGTCAAACTTGTGTCGCTCCAGACTACATACTTTGTTCCAAAAGAACTGAATCCAGATTCATAGAAATATCGAAAAAGGTCTTGTTCGAATTTTTCGGAAATGACGCTAAAAATTCTTCTGATTTAGCAAGGATCGTCAATCACCATCATTTTGAGTAAGATAATTAATATTTCTCAGATATTTTTTATTATTTTGCAAAATTTATACAATATATCCATAATTAACCCATAATC